AAATTATAAATTAATAAATTATAATTGATTGAGTTCATGATTAGCGCCATCTAGCGTGGATTATTTTGAAATAAAGCTTTTAGTTTTCTCCGCCAGAGGGCGCTAGTGATCTTACTAAAAAAATTAAAAAATTTTTTGCAATCTGAGTAAAAATGTAAAATATACTTAAGCGACGAGACTTTAGTGTCAATCATCGTTGAATTTGCAAAAAAAAGTTGGCAATTACTAAGCGAAAGGCAAAAACCAGGCCAAGCTGCACCCAAGTCAGCGCCGTATTTCAAACTGGAGGCCAGGCTGCAGCCAAGGTGGACAGTGTGGCAACTAAACTTGGCCCAAGATTCAGTTTCAATATTTCAATCAGTTGTGGTTTTATCAATTTAATTTCGATACATTAGCGACCAAATTAATCTGCCACTTAAACCAGCGAAAAATAAAAATAAAACAAATATACTTTACTTCGATTGGAGGTAGTTCAGACGGTCAAACTCGAAATCGATAGGCGTATCGTGCTCATAGAGTGGCGGTTTGTTTGAGTTTTGAGTACAAGTATTGGAAAACGTTTTAAATATTTTATTAAACATTTTTGACATCGGATGTCCATAACAGAGAGAAAAAAATTTTTTTTAACGATTTTACGAACTAGGTCAATCAATACATCTAGGGTAGTCTGAGCAATTTTTTATGTTCATTGATTTCTGGTCAATACACACAAAAAAGGTATTATTTACAAGTTAGGAATTGAAAATTTTTTTTCCGTCAAATACCAAAGTTGTTTCACTTCAAGTTTTTTGTTATTACCTTAGTAAAAATGCTTCAGCATTATTAAAAATAGCATTTACAAACTACTGCTTGTCAAAACAAATTAGTAGGCATGCAATTATAAATATTTACATGCACGTGATTAATTTTAAATGGTACTGAGTGGTGTATGAATTGAATGATTATTATTCTAAACATTAATAAAACGTTATTATAACTTTGACGTTTTATTTTTTTTTATTTTTTATTTGAAGAATAAGGTCTTTGTTAAAATATCACAAAGAATAAAAAAAAGTCAGCACACATTATCAATATAAAAAAAGTAAAGTTATCATTTATCTTTTCGTTCAGAGGATAAGCTGTCATGCAAATTTGACACAACTGCTTCAACTAACTCTGGTATCACAACTCCATTAACATCTATAAAGTTAGCTACCGACTTTGTCGCCGACGCTTCATTCGATACACCAGTACTTGAATTCTTCATTGAAAGTATCAAACTGTACTTGTCATCGTACTTCTTCATGTAAGAACTTGCTTCCCAAACAATATCCGGATCATATCCTGATGGATCCCTAAAATAAAATTACAACACATTATTATAAATCGTTCAATTATAAATTAAATAAAGAAAAAAAATACATACCTCTGGATTGCAACAACAAAGATTCCCTTTTCCATGTATGACGTGTAAAAAGTGATAATAACTGACAACACAAAATATATAGACACACAAATAAGCAGCACTGGTTTAGAGGCTGGAAAGGGATAAAAATAATCCCAAGCCAAAGCTACACCAGCCACAAGCACTGCAATGGCACTCAGTGCCAAGCGTCCATCGAGAAGGGTAAAATTTTCAATGTAGTTGTACTTTTTTATTAAAATATTCTTTACAACGTCATCCAGTGCGTTTTTCACTGCTGCCCCATCCCACTTGTCGACTTTAATTATCTGAAAAATACAATATTCTCATTATTGCTTTATATAAATTTAACACACATCTGTGAAAAATGCACACTTCAAACGTCACAAAAACTTTAGGTTATGAAATTTAGAAAACACACAGTGAATGGATTATAAAATCATGACAAACTTTATGATTTTAATGGTAAAGTGGTTAAAAAACAGAATAAAACAGCACAACTTTCACTACTCACATTATCACCATTGTCTTTTGTCGACATATTGTGTTAAACTTGTGCTAACAACAAACAACACTGGAAAACGAAACGCAAGCAAATGAGTAGTGCGGGGGAGAATGTTTCCACGTCAGGCGATTCTCTGTGATGATACCGGGAGACACTCGAGCGTGCCTTATTATTTCGAACATGTGTTTTTTTTCTCTATTGTAATTATGCCACTTTGCGGCTTTACAATTGTAGTTGGATGTGTGTATATATATATATAATCTATACACTACACTTTACTTGACCACGTCACCATGACGTCACACGCAAATCCGCGACTGAGACTGGATTTATAAAGGTTTTATCACAACGATTCAAACGTTTTTAACTTTGATATTTGAATAGTTACCTAAGTACTTATTTTCCTGAATTTTTCGAATATCTAGAAAGTAAAGTCGTCTATCATAAGTGTTGAAAATTTTTAAATAATTTTGCGTTTCTTACTTATATATCTGGCTAACGAAAAAAAAAAAAAAAAAAAAAAAAAAAATATTTTAAATACTAGACTTACAGAGTTAACATGGTTCGCTAAATATTTAGCAATAAAATTAGAAGAATATCTTTTGTTTAAAATAACCCGAAAAAAGAAATGTTTTGTTATTTTCAAACGAATTCAAATGAATTATACTACAATTTTATAAAGTGTTTCAATTTCCATCTGGAATCGTGTTAAAAAAGCTATTTAAAAAATCCAAGTGTGCGTATGTATTGTGTCGTTCTTACATACACACAGTAGAGTTAGTTTCACGCAAAAATACTGCCAAATTTTATAAATATTATCTGCTCGATTACAACGCGATTCCCCGTGAATTCGTACACTTTCGGCCTTTTTTTCTTAGGTGTCGCAATTTCCGTTGTACCATCATTTGCGAAAAAGTTATCAAACAATAGATTTGTTATAATCAACGCACACCATGATTGCTCAAATGTTTATTGTGTTAGCAAATGATTTGTAGTTTTAACTTTTGCATTATGTAATAATCAATATAAGTATATTATAAACTTGGATGTGGCTTGTTGGCTGGTCACACGAAATTCAGGTTGGCCCGACACCAAAATAAATAAAGTAACTTTTTATGAACCTGGAGAGGTTTCTCTCGAGTAATCGAGTCACGCAGGATCGTAAACAAGTTGCGTTACGAGGCAAGTGGAACAAATACCAAAAACTTAATAATAAATTCGTAGGTACTTACTTAATTGGAAAAATTTGCAAGTGTTTCAGATACTCTGTGACGGTTATATATATACGTATTCGTGAAAATAAACTGTATGAATGAAATGGAAAACCAAAAGTGAGTAAAGTAATGGTAGTTTTCCTACGAGTTTGAAAAGTCTCTGTTTGCGAACCGAGAGGTTTGCGGCCCGAGCCGAAGGCGAGGGACGTAACGAGGTTCGTAAAGGAGACTTTTCGAACGAGTTCCGGAAAACTGCTTTTTCGCCCGAGGAAGTACCAGCCTCCCAAAACCACCCGAGGGTGGAAAAAGATTATTATTGAATTTTGAATACTATATAAGAGAATAGCATATGAGGGTTGCGAGTTTCCAAGGTCATCACAATATTTTGAACTTTGTCAATAAAAACGTAAGAAGAAATCGTTATAACAGTAACAGTAATAGAGATCGATGGGCCGGTGGAACGTCGAAAAAAATATTCAATTTCAAAATTACTCAATTGTTTTTCTGTATGGAATATCTGTTCCATACAGTGTTTAAACTTGAAATTTCGTACTTTCAACATTCGATTTTTCGTTGATTGAATCAAGTTTTTTTTTTCTTTTGCAGTAATAGACCCATGTAAAAATTTTTACGGCGACTTCATTGAACTGATACAAGTATATTGTGATGAGATAAGTGACCACATATAAGTACAGAGTGCATGATTCACGGATGCGCGTGTCCCTTATATCCCTATAGAGTCACGGCTTTTTTATTAATACACGTCTCGATCGATATCTGTTATTTTTAAGACGCAAATTCCATAAAAAGTTCTAAGAGTTGGAAAATAAAATTATATAAACAAGTTACCCGAAATCTTACAACCCGTTGTTCTACTGTCCCCGTGTGCATGTCTACTGTTTGATAAAATTTTTGTGGTACATTAATCAATACTCTGTTAAATTGTAAATTAAGCTAAAATATAATTATGGTTTCAAAGTGTGTATTTACATCAATTTCAAGAAATCTTATACATGACAATTGAGCAGCCGAATTTTTTTAGGAACACTATACCCAAAATAGGACAACATTGTTGAAAGAAAATCTGTGATAATTATGTATTACCGCAACTGTGTAATCAATCGGACGCAATTTCCCTAAAATTTTGCAAGTATTCTGATCTCGAGTGTGTATAGGTACCTACGCGTGGGTGGGCAGCATAGCCACTTACCTATATATAAGTTTTTCAAATTCCAGGGAACACCAACACCCCATCATCAGTACATGGCATTGATGGTATACTTATATATATTATATGCTCTCAGCGCAAAACATGGTGTGTGAACGAGACAGATAAAATATATAAGCAAAAGAGATAAAAAGAAGAAGACAGAAGCCATCTCCGGAGGAAGAAGAAATAAGTAAGTATAACAGCAGCAGCCAAGAAAGATCAAGAGACACCAGCGAGAGATATATAATATGTATATATATGTATATATTAAGTATTGTGCGGGTGTGTGTCGTTATAGTGGGACCAAGTAGCCATAAGTACTAAGTAGATTAGTGGACGTGTGTTTTCATGCAGTGTGCGTGATACTCTTCTGGCTTCTGGCGGCTGCTGCGGGCCAGCAGCTAATAGCCCAGCAGAGGTAATAGAAGAGTATATGATGGCGACGTGGGGAAACGAAAAATTCGAGGAGGTACACGGCTCCAAGGAAGCTGCAGGGGAGGAGCTAGCCCTGGGCCAGCCACAACACGACCTCCAGGACTGCTTTGACGACAGTCTCGACCTGCCGAGCTTTGTACGCGTCCTCGGCCACGAGCAGCATGAGTTTCTTCTGCAGCAGCACTCTGACTCCGTCAACGATTCCGCTGGTGGAGCGCCAGAATTTGAGGACTACGAGCTACTCCACGATGAAAACACTGGGTACCTATACCATCCCCTCGTTATACCTCCCCCATTAACTCTCCATCTCGACTCATTTTTTATTTTTTTTTTTTTTTTTTAGTATCCACAATTAAGTACTTAATCTTTCACGTTTCTATGATTTCGAAAAGATGAAAAAGAACTTAATCCCAAATGAGTACTAGTGGTTGGGGGGGTTGGGGACCAGTTTGGCCTTTGTGGGTGCAGGCGATTATTGGCCTTTTATTTTTAAATTGCTCTGATGGCATATATTTTACGCGCGCGAAAGCTCATACACACTCTATCACCCCACGTTTTTTTAAGCCTTTCCTTATATGGCCGTTGCTGTAGTTTTGAAATTGATACCTGCTCCAACAATAGTTCTTATCCGAAATTTTTTTTCCTAGTACAATATCGCATTTGTTAACTGTATTGAGCAGTTGAGCAGTTGTTCTCTGAAATTAATAATATACTTACTATAAACGAATGAAAATAGTCCCTGTAGTTTTATCAAGATAAATCATGTATAAAGTACTCTAATTGTGTTTAAAATACCATATAGGGAGGTATAGTAAGATTTAGAGAACAATAATCAGTAAAATATTTTTAAAACGTTTCTATTGTGAAAAATCATGTAATATTTGAATTTTTTTTATTGATACTAAAAAAATCTGAATTTTTCCAGGTACATTCATCATACTGTCAGTTCAAATGAAATTTATATGCGAATACATCCTGGCAACCATGATTCAATGCCTGAAGATCCTTCTCATGCCGTCATAACAATTGAAAGCACAGATCCAGACACTAATCAGAAGCAAATCAGTAGATACACTTGTGAATATGATGGTTGTTCCCGAACCTATAGCACAGTTGGAAATTTAAGAACGCATATGAAGACGCATAAAGGTTGGTCAGATAATCGATGTTTACCTTTCAGATTTCATATACTGGGAATACCACACCTACATTTGCCACAGTTTTTAAATCTTGTGCGTAACTAACTTGTTGCTTTTTTCAAGCTTGAGTAAAATTTTCACTCCTTTCAAAAGCATACTAATGCATCAACTTACTGTCATGAATCTAATCATTGCTTATTACATTTATGCATCCTAAGGATATCTCAACTTGGTGAGTCATAACACAAATAAATTACAATTGTTTTGTGTTGATAGTTATTAAGTGGAAAAATTTCATCCATCGTCATGTTGTGCATGCCCATTTTGTTGTGAAACAAAATAATATTAAATCATGTGTTAAACATGTTGAACAAATCTATTCAGCTAACAACAACGTGTTTATATTGAACAAAAACCGAATTATCGACTTTCAGGCGAATATCGGTTTAAATGCTCAGAACCCAGCTGTGGCAAAGCCTTTTTAACATCATATAGTTTAAAAATCCACATTAGAGTACACACGAAAGTTAAACCATTCGAGTGCAATCACAATGGATGCGAGAAGGCATTTAACACCCTTTACAGACTAAGAGCCCATCAAAGACTACACAGCGGCAACACATTCAACTGTGAAGAGACAGGATGCGTCAAATTCTTCACAACACTTAGCGATCTCAAGAAACATGTTCGTACTCATACTCAAGAACGTCCATACAAGTATGTTTGTCGAAATATTTTACACATTAAATCATAAGTTACATATTGTGCAACTTTTCACCAACTTTTCACCTATACAAATCGAGTAATGTTAAATTTCAGTAAAAAAAAAAATTATTACTGCATTAGTTTGCATCGCAAATGAAAAATTTAGTTGAATCACTTGTTTTAAGGTGTCGTGAAAAAGGCTGCGAGAAAGCCTTTACTGCTTCTCATCACTTAAAAACGCACAGGCGCACACACACCGGTGAACGTCCGTATATTTGCACTGAACACGATTGCCAGAGATCTTTTACCACCCCGCACAGCTTAAAAAGTCATCTTAAGACTCACAAAAAGCTCTCATCCTCCGATGAATTAGTATGTACTGGAGTATTAAAAAAACTTGGAGTACTTAACAACGTTATTGACGACATTTTTATAATTTTCAGAACAATAATGATGATTTAGAGATCGCCGGTTTCATCGAAGACATGCAACATATCGAAAATACTGAAATCACTTCTCAAGTCGATATCGACAATCAAGAACAATCATACAGCAAAGTTCCTATTGTAGTACTTTATTCCTCGATCGAAACTTACGATCAGACAGCAAATATTCAGACAATTGAAAATTTGACTGACACCCAATCACAAAACATCGGTAACAATAATAGTGACGATACAATTATTAATATTTTGCAACAACAGGAAGTACGAGACAGTCCTAACTTGTATGACGATTCCAATAAAAAATTGGATGTGAACGACAACGATAATTCAATAACTAGTTTCAATAGTACCGGCGACTTTGATCACTTAAAATTGTTTGACGAAATACAAAGTCAGGGCATCGAATCAAGTGTGGTGCACGGAAGTACCAACAGCAACAACACAATTTTGCAAACGTCGGATATCGTTTTAGATAACCACTTAAGCCAAGATACTTCAAAACTACCTCAGGTGCATATTGGAGATAATACAGTTGTTGATCAGTCACTAGAAATGATCAAAGTCGACAGTTACTTAGATAAGCCAATGATGGATTTAATGAATAGCACTTTGGGAAACTGCGACAACAGCAATGCTCTGTTTGATTCTCTATCTAGTCCGATGCTAAGTGCCTTAAATATGCCAGACAACAGCCACATAATGACCAGGGAACTTGATCAATTAACGTTTGAAAGTAACAATCCGACTTTTGAAAATCAAGCGGCCATGCAGAGCATTTCGAGTTCAATAACACCGATGGCGGTCAACGACGTTAGTAGCAACGAGTCAAGAGCCCTCGAGCTCGCCTTAGCATCTGAAGAAGAAAGACAGTCGCCGTGGATTGACATAAATTCGCTAACGAGTGAGCTTTCGGATAAGATAATCGCCTCCACGGCGATACCGACGGTACGGACAGAGACGACGTGGTCGACGGGATCCGTCGCACTTCCCACGGCTGTACAATCTCTAGTAAATCTCCTGGGTCCCGAGCCCTATCCCCTCGAAATTGAAACACAGCTGGAAAAAGCTCCGGTACTTGAGACGGTAAGTCTTGTGGATCCGAAAAATTTGACCAATGGGAGTGCTGGGATCGTTATGAACTACTCCGAGTATCAGAGCAACAATGACTGCGTCAAAGTAGACGCTACCAATAAAGCTGATATGTCGAGAAACGTCCTGCGAGAGATCACGGCCAATGCCGGCATATGCAAGTGCTCTGTTTGTGAATGTAAAAGCGAAAGTGACAACTGTACGAATTGCTCGCAAGCGAGTCAAGAAATTGCAACTAAAAAGCAACAACCGCAAATACAAGAGCAACAGCGGCAGTTTGGTAATATTGAAGACAAGCAGATAAATATATCGGATATTATATCTTCTTTGAAGAACAAATGCTGCTGTAATAATCAAAACAGTTGTGGCACTTGCTGCGTCGTCATTTGTATAAAATCACTGCAAGAGTTGCAAGAAGTATTTAATAATTGTTGTAAAAGTTCGAGCAGCACTGGTTGTTGTAAAAGCGATTCTATGAACAATCATCAAGGAATAACTGTACCTGTATCTTTGTTAAAAAGTCAGTTGGCGGGTAACCAATGAAGAACTAGTCCAAAGAAAATCAAGATGTTAATGTTATTTAGATACATATGTATGTACGAAGAAAAGAAATATTAGTGAGAAATAGAAGGCTACTTTTTTTGTTACGCAACTTACAGTCTTTTAAGTATTTTTTTTTTCTTTTTTGCATAAAACATTTGCCTTTACTTACTAAGCTGCAGGCATGAAATTGTTCATAGTATTTGAAATAAATTTTTATACAGCATCGAAACCGTATACATATATGCAAGGCTAAATACGTTAACTAGATACTTATAATTATTTTTCATGTATTTGTTTCAAATGAAAAAATATTGTTTTGTTATTAATAGTAGTACATACAACATAAATGTACAAATCATTTGCCAAATATGTTCAATTGAAAAAATATTGACTGCAAAAGCTATTGCTACATTTTATAACTGGTGATGACGTGCCAAAGGTTTATTAAAGAATTTACTTCTCATACACAAGATGCGCACGATATTTGTTATAATTATGTGCATCACCATGCCTTATATACATTTTTTTGTAATTTAATAAGTTTATAATATTTGTACAGAAGTCTAATAGATACTTATGTGATTAAATAATGAAAATAACAATACTTTTTGCCAACGACTTTAACAATCAGAGTGATTTTAATGGCTGTTTTAAATAAAATATAAAAAAACCTTAAAAAAAAATTTCGCATTTGAAAAAAAGCGTTTGAAAGAGTGTTTATAAATAACAAGTAAAAAATGTTATGAACTAAAATTGAACAAAATGACAATAAATTATACTTTATTGTATTTAATGAATAAATTACTTTTCTTTTTTCCATTTTAAAATCAACATTTTATTTTCATTTTTGACACATTCATGTGTATCCCCAATGTGAATGACTGCTATTATACATTAAGTTTCTAATTGTATGATGTACAAGAGAATTCCTTTTTTTTTTGTTATGATGGAACTGTTTTTAAAAAGTAAATTTATGCAGCAGCTTGAACTAAAGCTTCAGCAACTTCAACGGCAATGGCAGCTTCAGCCTTATCTTTCTCTGATGAGGAAGATGACAACTGTTGTTGTGCTTTACTAAGAATATCTCTAGCTGCAGACGCGTCTAATGATTCCACAGGATGTGCTTCTTCCGCAAGAACCTAGAATTAAGATATATTATATATGCTTTTCTATACATTAATATTTCATAAAATTTTTAAAATCTAACAGTTGTATAATTTTTATTTTAAGTTTTTCTGGATTATCCACCTGTAATTTTTACTTCAATTTGAAAGCTGACTTTTATAAATATAAATGAACAATTCAATATTAAAGAAACGTTGCTGAAAGCCATATTTTATTGGAATACTAAAAAATATTAAAACTATTTCAAAAACACGACAGATATATTTGCATATAAACTGACTTTTATAGTCTAATTTTTGATGCTTTAAATTTTTTCACAATAATAATAACCTAATATTAATGGAAGTACAAGAAAAAATATAGTTTGATATTCTCTAATAATCAAAACTGTCTCAAACTCCATTTCAATGTGAATTTTAATGGCATTGATTTGACATTTATAACTTGCAAGAAAACATAAGTACTCTAATTTACCTGTACACTGGAATCGTCATTGATTGTAACAGTGCCAGAAGAAACAAAAATCCTCTTGGTGTTACCATCCTGCTCATACACTGTCACTACTCCAGGCTTTAGAACAGCCAAGGTGGGCACATGCTTTGCCAAAATGCCAAAAGAGCCTGAGAATGATGGCACATCAACCTGCTTAACGACAGCTTGGTCGTAAAATACCTGTACATAACACATTTGTTTAGTACAAATATCCTTTAACAAAACTGCCAAAGTGCACGCTGTCCCCTAAGAATGAGTACAACTTGTCTGTTCAAAAAGATCTACCTGATTTGCACCAGCGAATGTGAATTTGAGCTGATCAGCCGCCGCATCGGCGTAAAACCTCTTCTGAGCTCGGGTGGACCTCATCAAGGGTCGCAGGGTGCGAGCGAGAGCTGCCATTTCTTTCTGAAAATGTTTATAATAATTACGTGATTCTTACAACTTACCGAATACTTTGTTTAATTTCGGTCACTCGGTTGATCCATACGCGGCGAGTATATTTATATGTTACATCACAAGTTTGGGGGGTGCTCCCTTCAACTTCGTACAACCGATTCGAAATACAACAATCAAAAACCAAGTACCGTAAATTACTTTGATGAATTAATGGGAGATGATGATATATCACTCTAATTGGTCGATAATTCACTTACTGGGTTTGAATTACAACAATACTTGGCTCTACAGCTATATTACTTATAAAAAAGGCTAAAAAAATACACCAACAACTAACAGCTCTCTCCTCCGCAGTCGTATAGCAGAACTAGCAGAAGCATATATTTTTCAATCAGCCGTACTGCGCGAGCGCCGGGAGGAAAGAGGACGCGCGATTGTTCCTTTAATTTCAAAAGATCTTCTTGCTTACACCTCCAATGCTTCATTTTTATTGGTTTTCATCATTCTACTACCCTGATACGATGTGGATTTATTATACAATCTAATAATGCTGATGTGGTAATTTGGGAGCATCCTTGATCTCTACTTCTTTACACGTCGTCTATATTTATTTTATTCCTTTAGTTGTAATTCTGTACTAAATGCAGAAAATATAATGCAAAAAGTGGATCAGCGCCATCTAGCGTTGCGGATTTTTGAACTAAAAAAAGGCTCTGAAATTCTGGACAATATTCGACGGTCACAATACATATATACTGCTTAATCCGGTTCTGCGACTGTCATTTTTGCAGACTAGAAGCGGCGAGAGGGGAAGAGGGGGAAGGATGATTCCCGAGAGTCCCGAGCGTAATAAAAGACGAGTTAGTTGCCCCTACCATTTGACCAAGCTACGCTCTGATTAGTTCGGAGTAGCTGTCGACTTTAGGTGCATTCGTCTGCCATTGGACGTGTAGTGGCTACTCCAAGCCAATCAGAATGAAGCTGCCTCGATAGAAAAGAAGAGGGAGAAAGAAAAATAAAAACCAAAATTGAGTCAGATACCCCCACTATTCGGCCAAGCTACGCTCTGATTGGTTCGGAGTAGCTGTCAACTTTGGGTGCACTCGTCTGCTATTGGACGTGTAGTGGCTACTCCGATCCAATCAGAGCGTAGCTTGGCCGAATGGTGGGGGCAACTAACTCATCGTTTTTTGCGCTCGGGAGTCGGGAGTCAATTTTCCTTCCTCCTTATGCATAAATGACGTTCTCAGAACTGGATTGAGCGGTATTGTGACCGTCGTATTTTGTCCAGAATTTTAGGGCCACTTTTTAGTTCAGAAATCCGCAACGCTAGATGTCACAGATCCATTTTTTTGCGTTTTCAGTTTTCTACTTTTCTGCATTTTGTACAGGAACAGGATCACACAAAGAATAAACGGGATGGAATAATGAGCGCAAATCTTGATATGATTGTTGATTAACTCAAAAACTCAATTAAAGGATTTTTGCTAGTAACATTTGCGGAATATATCGACGGCTCCGAAGAAAAAAAGCATTAAATAAATTTCATCGAAAACTATTGATAGTGAAGACTTCTGACTAAAACTATCAACAATCACTTAGCTTCGACAAATACTAACGTTCACTGCTCCTTTTTGACCAAGACTATCAATATACACAGGTTTTTGAGAAAAACTAACAAAACTTGAGCCTTTTGATCAAAACTATCAACACTCGCTGCACTTCGACAAAGAGTAGCAAGAGTCACGAGTCCTCCAAGCAAGACTATCAAAACTCACTGCTTTTTCAAGAAAATCAACAACAATAGCTGCACCTCGATAAAGAATAGCAAGACTCCTCAATCCTACGAGCAAGACTATATTAATAACTCGTTACTTTTTCATAAAGATTAACAATACTCGGTGAGTTCAAATAAAAACTAAGAAGAGCCGCGACTCCTCCAATCAAAGCCATCATTACACTTTTATTAGGACCAGCTAAAATTAAATTAAATGTTCCCAATAACCCAGGGCGCTTACTGGCCACTCTTTTAAATAAATAATTATTAGTAAATAACACAAGCGCCTATCACCTAATGACCCGGGGCGCTTACTGGCCACTCTGTTAAATAAATAATTATTAATAACACAAGCGCCTATCACCTAATGACCCGGGGCGCTTACTGGCCACTCTGTTAAATAAATAGTTATAAATAACACAAGTGCCTATCACCTGATGACCCGGGGCGCTTACTGGCCACTCT